GATCATGATCTCATGGTTCATGGGTTCGAGCCCTGCATTGGGCTCTGTGCTGAAAGCTCAGATCCTAGAGCCTGCTTGAGATTCTGTATCTCCCTCTCTCTCTGACCCTTCCCAGCTTGCACTCTGTCTCTGTCTCTCTCAAAAATAAAAAATGTTAAAAAAAAAAAGAAAAGAAAAGAAACAAACCTAAGTTCATTCACTTGTTCTCTCATTCATTCTTTCAAAAAAAATTTTTATGGAGCATATGTACTATGTCTCTGACACCATTCTAAACACAAGGAATACTGGGGCACCTGGCTGACTCAGTTGGTTGAGTGTCTGACTCGGGACAGGTCATGATCCCATAGTCTGTGAGTTCGAGCCCCACGTCAGGCTTTGTGCTGGCAGTGCAAAGCCTTCTATGGATTCTCTTGCTCCCTCTCTTTCTCTGCCCCTCCCATGCTCACTCTCTCAAAAATAAATATTAAAAATAATTTTTTTAAATTAAACACAAGGAATACAGTGATGAATAAAACATAAGGTCCCTGCCCTTTAGGAACTTATACAGAGGAAAAGACCCAATGGTAAACAAATCAGTAAGTAATAAGAAAGATACAGAAAGAATGATGATGGTACACAGTAACTTGGGAGAAATATTTAATATACAGGATGGCCAAATTTAAGCTGAAATGTTAAAAGGATAACATGAAGCCAATCATGAGAAACCAGAACATTCTAAGACGGAATGGTAAGTGCAGAGGCCTTAAAGTGGGAAAGGATTGGTGCAAACAATGAACCAAAAGGCAGGTCTGACTAGGAAACAAGAGAATAAAGCAACGGACAAGGACTAGACTTAAAAGAGCCTGTTGGTCCAGGTAAGGAATCTGGAGTTTCATTGGGGAGGTTGGAATATGAATTTAAAGATAAGCTTCACTATCCTATGAAGATTATAATGTGTATGTGCTCATAACCCCACTAAGAACCATGTTCTAGATATTTTGCTACTTAAACTATAGTTCAAGGACCAGAAGAATCAGTTTTGGCATCAGGGGTAAGACTTTTTAGAAATTCTGATTATCAAGTTCCATTTTAGTCCTTCTGAATCAGAATCTATATTTTAACTGGTGATTAATATACACATGACAGGTGAAGAAGCACTCATCTAAAGTGATGCTTGAAAAATCAGTAACTGCAACTAATCAAATCATGGGCACTAATGCAAAAGACCAGAAGGTACCTTAACAGTGAATTAAAAGAAAGAAAATCACTATGTTGTCCTACAGAGAATGCAAATTCTGGGTATTTTCAATGCTTAGAAAAGGGTTACATATGATCACAAACCTAAACATATAAGTGTAGAAAAGAATTAAGAAAGATCCTAAAAGATGTTGCCACTTAACACCTCTTTGACAGTTACCTTAAAGACAAGACATTCTTTAATGTAGAGACACGCTCAGGATAGCAGAGTAAACTTCATTTTCCAACTACAAGAGCTAAACGACTACCTGTCTCTTGCCAATTCCTACCTATTCACTGAGTAAAGCACACCTCACAAATGTCACTCCCTAGCCTGACTCCAGCTCACTCTCATTGCTGTCTTCCCACGTCTCATATTCTCAAATGCTCACCTCTCCATTCCCTTGTTCTAACTTTCCCTCTTCTTTTATTCCGATTTCTTCATTCTAAAAACTCCCTAAACTACAGAAAAGATGAAAGAATAATAGGGTCAACCACTACAAATTCATGCACTAAGATTCACTAACTTCACCTTTTGCCGCCTTTGCTTACCTTTTTGTTCTCTTTCCTTATGCACACACACACTTACTTTTTTCTGAACCATTTGAAAACAAGTAGCAGACATTTTTGATCAAAGATCCAGTTATAGATCACACATTACATTTATTTTTCATGTCTCTTTAGTCTCCTCACCTCTAGAGAGGGCTGTCCTGACCCGACCCCAGCCATACTTTGTTTAGTTGCCTTGATATTGATACTTCAGAAGAGTTCAAGCTGTTTACTCTAGAAAATGTTCCAACAAGATGGATTTACCTGTTTTTTCAAGATTAAGTCCAGATTAAACATTCTTGTGAGAAACATTTTGCATTGATAATGTAGCGGGCATATCATAAAGTGATATTCCCTCCCCCCTTTTTAAAATAGATTTTAAGTAATTTCTACATTCAACGTAGGGCTTGAACTCACAACCCCGAGATCAAGAGCTGCATGCTCTTCTGAGCCAGCCAGGTGCCCCAGATCTTTTCTTTAAATAGTCCTTATGGTTCCTGCATCTATGTTTTATGTTTCTAGTAAATTATAAATAAGCTCCTTCAAAGATGTGGCCTTGCTTTTTATTTCTTTCCTATTTCAACAAAGAATATATAGCACAATCTCTGTATATATTAGATACTCAATAAATAAATGAAAACTTGAAAGCAGAGTTCACAGCTATTTCTCAGGATGATAGAATATGCATAAATAGCTATTACCACTCACCAGCTTTATATCAGACGCAAAATATTTGGACTTTGCCTCTAAAATTTTTGAGAAAAATAATTAAGCATGTGAACAATTTAGCACAATGTCTAGTATGGTACATATAAAATACATCTAGGAAAGAACTGGAGCTAAAGAGTATTTCTCTACACAAAGATGTTTTAAGTGCTGTTCATCATGTAATCCAACTGGTTTTAATACAGTGTTTATCAGGGCGCCTGGGTGGCTCAGTAACCGACTTCAGCTCAGGTCATGATCTTGCAGTTTATGGGTTCGAGTCCCACGTTGGGCTTTGTGATGACAGCTCAGAGCCTGGAGCCTGCTTCCGGTTCTTTGTCTCCCTCTCTCTCTGCCCCTCCCCTGCTTGTGCTTGGTCTCTCTCTCTCAAAAATAAGTAAACATTTAAAATAATTTAAAAAGATAGTGCTTCTCTTCTAATGTGTTTGTTTTGTTTTGTTTTTTTGGTCTACATGTAACTCATGAGCTACTGAAAGAAAACCAGAAGCTTTATCTCCTCCAACTGTAACTGGGAAAATGTATCACTACATGATGCCTGTAAACATATGTGGAGAGCTTCCATATTCCTACTTCATTAAAAAAAAAAAAAAAGTCAATGTCAGACATCGTGTAGCTGCCATAAAACTTTGTAATGCTGGACACAAAATAAGCAAGGTAACTTTCCTTTTCTAAAAAATATTACTGGGGCTCCTGGGTGGCTCAGTCAGTTAGGCATTCAACTCTTGATTTCAGCTCAGGTCATGATCTCACAGTCTGTGAGTTCGAGGCCCGCCTGGGAATCTCTCTCTCTCCCCCTCTCTCTGCCCCTCGGCCCTCCCTCTCAAAATAAACTTAAAAAAATAAAAAATAAAAGATACTACTAAATAAATATAAAATTACTGTGTGAATATTAAGGGTTATTCCTTTTAAACCAAGATACATTTTGAAAAGAAATTAGGCAAGAAATTTAAAATCTACCACATACTATATAAAAACTGATTATTTAGTATACTTTCCCTTGAGAGATACAGTATTACCTAATGAATAGTTTTTATGACCCACTTAGCTAAATAAGCTCATGTTTCTTCTCATTTACAGAAGAATTATTTAGTTTGGCTGATGGATGTAGATTTTTGGTTTTATGAAAAAGAGTAATTGAGGATATTGCAGAGAGTCAAGAATTAAATGGGCAGAGGGGCGCCCGGGTGGCTAAGTCGGTTAAGCGTCTGACTTTGGCTTCGGTCATGATCTCACGATTCGTGGGTTCGAGCCCCGCGTCGGGCTCTGTGCTGACTGCCAGCTCAGAGCCTGGAGCCTGTTTCAGTCTGAGACTCCCTCTCTCTCTGACCCTCCCCTGCTCACGCTCTCTCTCCTAGAAATAAATAAAATATTAAAAAAAAAAAAAGAATTATATGGGCAGATAATATGCCATATACTATTAGCCTTTACAAAAAGCTCTCTAAGAAAACAATCCTTAGCCTTGTGTAACAGTGTTACTTTCTTGTTTCTGGGTAAAGATTATAAGTATGCTTAAGAGTGGGATTAGAGTCGATTCTGTAACAAATAAAACAAGTTCAGCTGTTTTCAAACAGAGAACTACATTCTTAACTGTCTGATTATCACAAACCTTTCTAATAAGGCTACTGCAATATGGTATTTAAACCTACACAGCATTTTCAAATATTATCGTTTCTCCTCATCGAGCCCAATTCCCATTCCCTTCAATATTTATAGAGAATTCTACTTGTTTACAATTACAGTCAGAACTCCAGGTGCGGAGAAAATGTGTCCTACCACTGCTAAAGAAATAAGTAATTTTTTTTTCATGAGATAATGTCATCCACTTTTCTTAAATCTACTTCATATCTATCCATTTGTTTACCTGAAGTTTCTTGACAACTTAAAAGGCAAGATTATGTTAAAAATATAAGCCTCAATTCCTGTTCTCCAGAAGTTTGTAGCTAATATTATATAAATTACTAGTTCAGATAAGATGAAGTTCAGGAGGTTGGTCATGAAACTGAGTGATATAGAACACAGGTACTTGGATGTGAACACAGCTGTGCTGACAGCTCAGAGCCTGGAGTCTGCTTCAGATTCTGTGTCCCCCTCTCTCAGAAATAGAGAGGGAGAGGGAGGGGGAGTGGGGGGGAGAGAGAGAGAGAGAAATAGATTTCTCCATCACAAAATGAAACAAAAGAATGATTTTTACTGCAGGGTATCTTGCTAAAAACAAATTTCATATTTTTAACAGGACATCATATTAAAAAGAATGATTTTCTCTTCAAAAATTCAAAGCTAATAATAATAAATTAAGTTTTGCAAATATCTGAATACATATAATATGCAAGGAAACGTATCAAACACTGTGAAAAATGTAGAAGTATAGAAAGGTTTGTTAGGTCCTTCCCCCAAGAGACTTCCAGTTCCCTGGATCAGCACACATACCCCTGAAACTGTTTCTCCCTCTTGAGATACAAGCTAGGGGTGAGGAAGCACCAGAACACAGTTATTCATCCCCTGGTGCTTACCTGGTCTTGTAGTGACATCACTGGATTATTTTTGGTAGTGTTGATGTGAAGAACGTGGTATCTGTTCTTTGCACAAAGGTCATAGGCAATGTTGGTAAAAGAGGTGCTTGCAGTTTTGGGGACTCTGTTATAAATGATCACCATATCCTCTTCCTCATCCAGCACTGCCTCTTGCCGGGGACCATCCATTGTGTGGCGCTGCTCAATTTCTCGCACTTCATGTCTTGCAATAGCCCTTTCTGCAGAGAAAAACAGAGATCAACTTAGTTTTTAAAGACAATGAAAACAATTTCTCATTCCTAGAACATAACTGTCCTAGTCAAAAAACCGGTAAGAGCACTCAATGAAATGTCTGAAGACCCAAACCTCAAAGTTACCTTTGAAGGATAATACAGATGCATATACAGAACAACAGAAGAAATAGTCATCAGGTTTAGAATACCACGGACCAGAGATCAGTGTAGTTCAAAAGTCACTCGATATTTTAATAGAATTTCTAAAGCCTGAATTCATTCTCAAACACACGAAGACAGATTGCATGGAATACTAAACTTCATGGTAAAAAAGGCACTTAGAAAATAAGTCATTTATAATTTAATTAAAGATTCTGAAATTTATTGTTTAGGATTTAATGACTCCCTGGTTTATCACAATGTAGCAGGACAGTGGTTATAAATGCTGGAGTGATTTCTGGTAACAAGAGGAGAAACGACATCATCACAAGCCCTTTTTTATTTTTGGTGTTGCATTACATTCTACGTCCTGGCTGTTCACTCCTTAAACTCTACGGTACGTCTAACTCAAATCAAGTAGAAGAAAGACATCTGGGAAAACCATTAAAATGAGTGCAACCACCCAGAATATGTAGCATGGGAGAGAGACTCTGGGACAAAATCTTAGGAAATACCAACATTTAAGGAGCAAATAGAGACAATCTATAGAAGAGGCTAAGAAGAAATAGAAAGAGAAAGGAAGCAGGGCAGACTTTTAAGAAGCACATGCCAGGGCGCCTGGATGGCTCAGTTGGTTAAGCGTCCGACTTCGACTCAGGTCATGATCTCACAGTTTGTGGGTTCAGGCCCCGCCTCGGGCTCTGTGCTGACAGCCAGCTCAGAGCCTGGAGCCTGCTTCAGATTCTGTATCCCCCTCTCTCTCTGACCCTCCCCTGCTCACACTGTCTCTCTCTCTCAGAAATAAATAAAACAAACAAACAAACAAAAAAGCACATGCCACATGATAGAAAGCATATTTTTCAAATTGACAGTGCTTCCAAATGGATCTATAAATCAAGGTAATGTAGGAGGCTAATGGCATTTACATAGTATTTGGAAGTTGTCTCAGGTTAAACTCAAAGAGTATTTATTGAGAGCCTATACACATTATTATATTCAATAATTTTTAAGAAATCTTATCTCCCAAACAACTTCTGTCATCATAGTCTAAAACTATTATGATATTGTTATGGACACACACTGTCTCTCTCCACAATGGGAAATAAAAACAGTACTGCTGTCATTCAGGTGCTGGTAGAAGCATGAGAAGTCTCCACTAAGCAGCCCAGACATGCATAAAATTGTCTTTAAAAGATTCACCTGCAAGCAACAGTGCTGAATTTACTTTCACTAGTTTTTCTAAGACCAAGTATTTGGAAAAGAAGATTTTATATGCTATTTCATAAATGGGTACCCATTCTGCCTAGAGAATACATAATGACAGAATACATAAGAAAATCTGCAATATTAAGTTTTTGTAATTTACTCCATCTACTTATAAAATTTTACATACCCAATCACTGCTATGAAAATTAGCTACAAAATTAATTAAAAATATTTTTAAAAATGGGTGCCTGGGTGGCTTGGTTGGTTAAGCGTCTGACTCTTGGTTTTGGCTCAGGTCATGATCTCACAATTCATGAGGTCTAGTTCCGTATCAGGCTCTGCGCTGACAGTGTGGAGCCTGCTTTGGATTCTCTCTTTTCCTATCTCTCAAAAATAAACTTTAAAGAAGAAGTTATCATTTTGTGTGTGGATTTATTTATTTTAATGTGTTATTTATTTTTGAGAGAGAGAGAAACAGCATGAACAGGGGAGAGTAAGAGAGAGAGGGAGACACAGAATCTGAAGCAGCCTCCAGGCTCTGAGCTGTCAGCACAGAGCCCGACGTGGGGCTCAAACCCATGAACTGTGAGATCATGACCTAAGCTGAAGTCGGATGCTTAACCAACTGAGCCACCCGGACACCCCTGAATTTTGTTTTCTTAATTTTAGAGACAGAGCAAGCGAGCACAAGCATGGAAGAGGGGCAGGCACAGAGAGAGAGAGAGAGAGAGAGAGAGAGAGAGAGAGAGAGAGAGAGAGAGAATCTTAAGCAGGCTCCAAACTCAGCACGGAACTCAACACAGGGCTCAATCCCACACTATGAAATCATGACCCTAGTTGAAATAGAGTTGAATACTCAACTGACTGAGCCACTCAGGCAACCCTGTGGATTTTTTATTTTTTACAGTGATAAAACTCTAGCCAGACCATGAAACTAACATGTAAAAATTAATCATTGATTTTGGTTCATCATGTGTACTAAATCAGATGCACGGTATATTGAACACAATTTTTAAAAATTTCTATAAAAACATGCAAATATGGGAGTCACTACTTTCCCCATTCAAATAATATATTTATATGCACTTTCTATTTTTCAAGTGTTTTTACTTTGCTTTAACAAACAGGATAATCAGTAACACAGTGTTATGCCTAAATATAAAAAGATAAAAATCATATGGAAAACTAAAAGGATTTTTATTAGTAATGTTTGTTTATAAAATCGAATCTCACTTAGTTGAATAATAACGATAATAGCTGTTGATGGTAAAATAGGATCTCTTTCCACCTGTGACAAACATAAAACTGGTAAGGGTGTTTGCAATATAGCCATATTCTTTACTTACTAAGTAACTGACAGTTCCAAGTCTTTTTTTTTTTTTTTTTTTATCAAAGATGTTCTGCATCTAGTTAGTACAGCTTCTTCTGAGACTCTCTTAAATCAGTGGGGAAGCTTTATTAGTTACAGCACATTTGTAGGGCACTCAGAGAATACAGGCAGTATATTTAAAATACCTATGGTGTTTTTTGAAGGAATGTTTTTTCATGTTTGAGTAATGAACTAGAGAGAATCTGCTATGCAAGCTATTTCAGAACCCCCACAAAACGTCTTACATACAAACAATATGGGGACAGCCCGAGAGTCATAAAATTACAGGTGGGCCAGGTACCACTGGCACTAATGCGTCCGCCCAACTGCCCAAAGATAGACACAAAGCTTTATGGCAATTCCAGTTCTTCAAGGCTCCTGTGAAAGGTGGTGTAGACCTCAGGTCAATGAACCTTTCCATGTGGCAGATTATCAACAAACTCAAGTCTTTTAAAAGACTATTCATAACAGCACTAATTCCCTATTCCTGCATTGACAGGGCATTAAAGGCCTTATTTAGTGCAAAAAGATAATGATCAAGCTAAATATAAAACATTATAGCTGCATTAAAAACACCAAACTAAATCCTACACGGCACTAAAGTCACAAAGATGTATATACATCAGGCTACAGAAAAACTGATGAAAACAGAACTGAAGATTTTTTAAAACACCATATCATATTGTTTAACGACAATTGTTTTAAACATTACGGTTGTTTGGGGAAACACCTTTCTCTTTGAACATGTAATTAAATGTTCAATGTACTAAATAACCTACACATTTATAGAGAAATAAGAGAAATGGTAGGGAAATAAGTTTTGTGGTTTATACAAATTAAAGGACTCATGAATATATATCTGTCTCTCCCTGCCACAGCTCAATTCTGCAAGGGTCTCAGCAGAAAATAAATACTTCATACAGGCTCCTACCATGTAGTATTTCTGTACTGTGGGTTGCAGATTAGGACTTCAGGGAAAAAGAAATAGCAGAAGGAAAGAGCAATCCATTGCCTTGATTTAAGTAGTGAAACTTCTGCATGTTAAAGTAAAAAGTATATAGTTAGACAACAGGTAAATAATAAAAGGCAAAGAACGCGAAGAAAAAAATTACCAAGTTTTAATATTTATAACAAAAAACATAGAAATTGGCAATGACATCATTAAAACTTCAGTACATAGGGGCGCCTGGGTGGCTCAGTCGGTTGAGCACCGACTTCGGCTCAGGTCATGATCCCCACGTCGGGCTCTGTGCTAACAGCCAGCTCAGAGCCTGGAGCCTGCTTCAGATTCTGTGTCTCCCTCTCTCTCTGACCCTCCTCCATTCATGCTGTCTCTCTCTCTCTCAGAAATAAATAAAAAACATAAAAAAATTTTTTAAACTTCAGTACATAATAAGCTAAGGGTGCTTATAAGAGTTTCAACTACATATGCATGATAGGGCAGAGTAAAAGTATTAGTGGCATTATGATTTTTCTGGGTCATGGACTCCTTTGAGAATATGTAGAAGACCGTGGACACCCTCTCTCCAGAAAGACAGACTGGTACATTTTAGGAAGAGGGGGGTGGTCTATGATCCCACGGTAACTACTCCTAAAAAAGAAAAAAAGAGAAATAAAAATTCCCCAAATAGCAAGCCTAATAGTAAACTGCCTTAGGGCAATAGTATACACACACACACACACACACACACATATATAGTAAACTATATATATATAATAGTAAACTGCCTTAGGGCAATAGTGTGTGTATATATATATAGAAATATATATATATATATATATATATATATATATATATATAGAAAAAAAATAGGTTACTCATAAGTAAGACCTGTAGGCAAAGAGAAATCATTGAAGAAACTGGCAGTGTCTGTCTGAGAAATGTCTGTAGGTGAGGATGCCCAGGCACAAAACGTGACCTGTCAGGACCCCATGGCAAGTATCCCTGTGGCACAGCCAGATAAGCGGGGCTCTACGAGCATGAGGCATCAAATATCTGACTTGAGGTGGATCCTCAGCACTTTCTAGGAACAAATCCTGAATTGTGTAAATTCCCAAGCACTGTTATGAAGTATAATTTATTCCCCACAAAATGTGTACACTATGAAAAGTAGGAAGCGACAAAGCTGCACCAAAAAAAAAAAAAATATCATGAAGCTATGTATCTGGTCCTTTCTTCAGCAGCACTCCCTGTAAACGTACTGTCCAACCACACACTACCTGATCTGCATGGATGGAGTATTTGGCAATCACTATAAGTCAAAGTGGTCGT